AAAAATATATGTGAAGATCACTTCAAAACCAATGGAAAAGTCACAGAGAATGAAAACCGGGCAGGTCAAAGAGACTAACAGAAACTGTTTTGCAATCACAAGAAATCAAAACAGGAAAGAATTTGAGCCCTTTTGGGAGACTGAATGTCTCAGAGTACTGCCAAGAGCAGATCAAGTCTTTTAGTTGGTTCTGTAACCCTTCAGTGAAGTCCATGTAACTGCGGACACCAAGGCTTCCCGTTTGAGACTTGTCTGAAATACTAGCAAAATTGGACAGCAAGGAGCATCGACTGTCTTGTTCACAGATTAGGTTTGCATGGGGAGGTTTGGGGCTGACCGAGCAGCCCCATAGACAGATATTAGATGACTCGTGACTGTCATCTTTTCCATCCTGGGTCTGCCACGTGGGTCAGAATACAACAGAAGGGTAACGAGCACAATTCTCCCCAGCTACTTCTCTTACCCTCATCCTCCTCACCTCTGGCCAGTGAGGCTGCAATTAGACACAGGCTTAATAGATACGTTTTGCCCATCTTTGCCCATGGTTTGATGTTGCTGGCAGTCTGCTAGCCTAAGTTGCCACCTATTGTCTATGCCTAAGACTCCAGTGAGGCTCCGTTCAGGCCCATGACCCAGTGTAGGACTGAAGCTGAGTTGCCACATCGCATTCAGTGGAGACTGACAGGTATTCCACCTTCACTCCTCAAGGCCAATGACAATGCACTGATGGTTTATGTCCTAAATTTGCTAACAGTGTTCTTGGCATAGGAAAGAAGTCAAGGTCTAAATGAGCCAAGGAAGTTAACTTCTCTTTTCAGGTGCAGCAGTAATCAGATTCAGATCTAGTTCACTTCATGCATTTGGCATACTGGTGAAGGCTGCTGTGGGAAAGCCACTGTTCTGCATCTAATTGCTTGACTGCAGATGTAAAATAAGACACAGGGTCACTGAATGTCGATATGTCAGTTTCTGAACTTGCAGTGCATTTACGAACAACTACAAAGCACAGGGAAAGTTCTTAATCATACTTTACAATGGACGGTATCTCTCCGATGCCTATTTTTTCAGTATAGGTACCACACATAGAACATCAAATTGTGTTACTATCTCATTTTGTACATTGTATAACATATGACATAACACATCAGACCTATGTAACATTTTCACCACTTGGAAGAGCCTGATTCCCCATTCTATCAGAGCTGTGCTTTTACAGAGTGGAAAAAAAGCAAGTACAAACAACGATTTTGCTTTTCTGATTCAGAACTGCTCAATTTATGTGCAAATTAAGACCAGGCAGGCACTGCTCTTTATATGCTTCTGGGATAAGCTCAAGGCCAGACAATGCAGACTTCATTCCGCCATCCACCTCAACCCCAAACATACCCCTTACCCTTTCTGTTGGGGAAAACGTTCTTTGATGGAAAAAAAAGGTTTTGGAAAACCCACCAGCTTTCCAATGCCTGAGTGTTTTGTAGCAAAAGGGAATCGTTCACTGTTTGTATCTGGTTGTATTCAAGTTACCTTCTGTGTTCAATGAAGCCTCAGTACAGGAGACACTTTGGTCCTAAATCTAAACTCTTCCTTGTGAAAATTCCATTGCTGGATTGGGTACCTTAGTTCCGTGTTAGGCACATGCTAGTTACAGAGCGGGTTGCAGAGGGAAATTTGCAAACAGGAATTTATTGTCATGATGTTGTTTGCTTTTGCCTATGCGGCACTAGTACATGACTGCACAGCTGCCATTGTTTTGTCATGTCATTACTGTCATTTCTGTATCATTCATCATAATAAATGCCATCTAATAGGGATGCTCAGGGATGCTTTCAAGCACTGAATCTGGCCTTGGGATTGTTCTGTCAAAGTCTGCATTAGATGAAATCATGAAACTTTCCTAATTAAAAGAGCAAGTGGGCAGCTTTAGCTTCAGCAGATGGAAAGGGAAGTAATGCTAAGCTGCTGAGTGACTCAGCTCATCTCTACTGATCGCCTGCCTGCTTTTTTTTAAATGCAGTCTTAAACATAGATGAAGCAAATGGCACATACCATTTCATTCTAACTGGAAGCTAATCTTTATCTTGTTCCTCTGTTCACCACCGCTGCAAAGATTTTTTTCCTAACAATAAAATATCAAGGGGCTAGATTACACTCTGCATTATGGCAAAAAGCAACTAAAAGGAGACAAAGGGGATAGGGAAATCAGAGTCAGCATTACCTTGTACCTGGAAATGTGAGTTTCTAAGGTAGGCTGTCCTGAGTAGTGGCTTTCCTTTCCTTACAGTAACAAAGCTTCATCCTTACCTCTGAATCACACAGAAACTCAGCACTGCAGGGCTGTCTGCAGACACACTTTCCCATCTTCCTGCCACACACTGCTGGCGAAGAGGAATGGGTTTTCCACTCATTTTCCCTCTCTAAAAAATATGAGAAAGAACATTAACAGTCCACAACTACAAAACTTAATTCCCAGGGATATGAAGTGGAGGTATTTTAGAAGCTGCGCTATAGTAATTCATTTATTAATTTATTACTATATGGTATAGTAACAGATACCATTAATAATTAAATCATATGATAAAACTGAATGTAGGGGAGGTTAATCCATTAGCATGAGAAAGGTATGCTAGTTTACA